CTTTAATAGTGTGAACTGTAGTCAAATGAAAGTACAACTTCTTGTATAGGTTATATAGTATATAAAAATTTGTCACCTTTTATACCCATATCTAGATGTACTTGTATTTTAAAAAGTGCACTGCAGAAATACAGCATTATTTACAACATTAAAACGAGAACGGTAGATAATCTTATTAAATTCAATAATTAAACTGTACAAAAAAAAGTTTTACTATATAATAGTAAACTTTATTTTTTTTACAAATGTAATTTACTTTATGGTTTCACATTAATAATGATAATAATAATGATAAAGAAAATTATTATAATTGGTAGGTTAACATCGGACAATGAATGAACAATTCTTTGAATTTAAATATAATTTGTGACTAATATTATTTTTCAAAGAGGAAGTACTCTTAATCTGCATTTTAGCAGATAAACGTGTTTAGCGTTGATGTGGAACGTACAGAAGTACCACAAAACTGACAAATGTAATTACTGGGTATTCTTTGCTAGTAATGTAAAACCTAGATTATTACAGACGTCATTACTATCCAGCAATCTTCAGTTCCAATGTCTACAAAAGTTCGAAAAGGAAAGATTCCTTTATACCCATCTATAACCCTTTAATACTTATGCAAGTAAAAAAGTATGTCCATGTACAACTGTTTTCAAAATTCTTACAAATACATCAATTTTTACAGAATATTGCAATTTCGTACTGATTAATGTACTGTTATCTCATTGATTTTTCAATTTTTATCGAGGCTTTGAGCCGTTTAATGATTGACAACTTGTATTCATTTTGTTACAACGTAATTTACGAAAATTTGTATGCTATTCTAGAAATCCAAGACTATAGTGAGCACATGAATCATAATATGGTGCATTACTGTTTATGTACTATACATGGAAGACATAAAAAAAAATATAAATCAATTTGTATAATTAAATGATCTTCAACTTGTCGCCATCTTATGTATTAAATGTCTTTTCAAATGGATGATGATGTTCAATATATACAGATACGTCTCTTCAACGAAACATTTCCTATAACCAGTAATCTAACAAATGTATCCTGTATACAATATTTCTCATGTAGAGTATGATCTATATTTTTAAATAAAATATAGAATGTCGCGTGATTATGAGCATTATTCACATCGTTCATGCGTACTTAACAAATGCGTGAATATATAGTCATTTACAACTTCTTTTTCATTAATTTTTCGATTATCTTAGATTCATATTTTGTTATTTAAATCACCTAACGAGCATTTGACACCATTTACAATTGACAAGATCAAGACAAATAATCTGGACCGCCGTAAAGGAATGCATTGCATCGGCAATGCATGCTGTACAAATTTAAATTAGAATGAGAATTATCACCAGGTACTTTGATTATGTACCTACTCGATATTATTTATTGCTTTAATTATTAGTCACGATATTGGTCCTGTTACGATTTCGTCGTCTGATTCGACCACCGCGTCTGTTTTGGTTTGTTCCGTTCCACTCTGATCCGTCCATGCCAAAATTTGGATTCGGACCATTCGGATTAAATCCCATCATAGCAGAATCCGGAGGTACTGGGCCAGGGCCAGGACCGGGACCAAAGTTATTAAAGTTACCACCAGAATAAGAGGCTGCACCATCATAAGGAGGATTGACCTCCGGCCCGAAACCAGGTGCTGGACCCAATAGACCAGCTCCATTGTTACGTTGAACATTAAAACGTGGATCAAAGTTCATTTGATTTTGAGGTACAACAGGTCCATTGATAGGCATTCCTGGAGGCATGTTCGATATACCTGTCATGCCCATCGGTGGCATATTTTGCGGACCCATGGGTGGTGCATTCATTATGGGTCCCATTGGGCCCATGTTTCCAAGCATCGGATTTGGGCCCATGGGCATCATGTTCTGTCCTGCTTGCATACCTTGTGGGCCAGGCATAGTTGGAGGCACAGACATACCAGCAGGACCCATTCCCATGTTGGGCATTTCCATTGATGGTTGTGGTACAGTTTTCATCATGGAAGCATTAACGTTTTGAGAAGATAAATTGGAAGCCTCGAGAGCTTTTCGTCGCGGATCAGATCGGACTTGCGGGGGTGACTTTGGAGTGTCCGGCTTTACCGGGGGCGGAGACATAGGAGAATCAGCTAGTTCAACCTTACCGATTCTAAATATTTTTCTTAAACGTGGATCGTATTTCACTTGGGCGTCATTTTTAGTAAGCTTCAGACCTGTATAATCCGGTCTTGGTATGTCCACGACATACACTTTGTATACCATTGGAGGGTGTGACGAAATAGTAGCATCTATTTCTGTGCAAGGTACATGAGACGGTGCTGGCTTAAATGGTAAACTTAACATTTGCCGCAGATCGACATCGGATTTGGTGGACGCATCCGTAAAACCCGCTCCGACAACTCGTAGATCAGTATCACCAAAACCAGTCTGAAATCGTTGTCTGAAATCCATATCTTTCCTTCTAAGATCTTGATCCGTCTTAGTACGGAGGTCTGTGTCCATATTAGTATCCACTGCAGTGATACCAGAACTATAGATACTTGTTTCTAGTCTAAGAGGTTTACTCTCTTTTTTGCACTCTGTTCTGCTGGGACTGCTTGGCTTTTGTTCGTCTCTACGCTGTCTAGGATCTCGAGACATACGAGGGTCCCTAGAGACAGGTGCAGAACTTGTTCCGGGAGAAGATCGTGGACTCGAAGTTTCATGTTCAATTTTTATTACTTGACTTGGAGCGCCAAATACACTTTTGTTTTGGCCGCTAGATTCATCTGATGATACTCTGTCCGGCGAGGATTTGATTTTTGAAAGGTATTCCTGACCATTAGCACTTTGTTGGCTGGATTTTCCACCAGGTGAACCACGCGCTTTAATAGATGATAATAATTTTGATACTTCAGCACTGATATCAATCTTACTTAAGTCGCCAAGCTTGTCTACAATGGCTGCTGGTTGAGGTATGCTAGGCGTCAAGGCTGCCGGTTGGAACTCCTCTTTTACAACAATATTTGATGTTTTCTCTGAGAATTCATTTTCCTCTTTCAACGAGTCCTTATTGGAAAGTACTATCGTAAGATTTCCACCCTCCTCATCATCATCATCATCATCATCATCATCATCATCATCCTCATCATCAGAATACCAGTCTTCTAGAATTTTATCTGTTTTCTCTGTGGGACACTCATTCTCCATATTCTTGAAACTGTCTTGTGCTGCACGCTGCTGTTGTTGAATACGCATGAATAATTCCTGTGCTTTCTTCGGTAAGTGAGATGGTACTTCCTGTTCCTCCGCATGAGGCGAAGTAGTATTATTATTGTTGCTTTGTTCGCTTGAGATACACGTTCCTGTAACAAATTAATTAATTTTCTTGTAAATTTTACTCTTGGCTATTCACAGTCATATAAATATTATTCCAAAAAAGCTATATGTAAGAATACTTTTTTGACCCCTGGTATATATGTATATTTGTCTGTATTTTAGTTTTTTGGATAACGTATTACCTTCTTGATCTGAACTTTTTTCTTTCTGTTTATCTTCCTCTTCAATCGGCACTTCTATAACAAGATCGGATTCTTCGTCGTGGTCACTCTCTTCGTCAAATTTAGATTTAGTAAGATTTGCTACTTTATCAGCTATACTAACAACAGGTGGAGGCTTCTTTGAAGTTTTCAACAGTTGCCTTAAATCTATATCTTTCGAATTTTCAAGTATTGAAGAATCTTTCTTCTTTGCCTAAATAAAAATAAGTGTTTTTACTTTCATAATAAATAATAATAAGAGAAAAACATGTTGACAATAATTTAGATTGTTCTAGTTAAAATTATTACTGTTGTACCTGCTCCAAAATTTCATCCTCCTCTACGTCTTTTGTAAAATCTTCTCTGTCTCGTTTGTTTGAATTAATTTTGTTCATGTCAGAATTAGCTTCGGTATAGAAGTCCATATTTGGCATGGATTGTGGAATCAGTGGTTTTGGATGTAGTTGCTGCTGAGTTGCTAAACCCAATGCAGCATTTGGGATTTGTAAACCAAATTCATTGGCTGATTGCAGTAGCATAATTTGTTCATATGGAACTCTATCTTCATCTGAACCCCATCGAGTTTTCTTACCAGATGGTTTCCTTTCTCTAACACTTTTCTGCTGTGATGTTTGATCTTCTATATAGGAAATTTTAGTGTTAGTTGATAATATCATAACGATATTTTCGCGTGGAAAGTGAAAATGTTTTGAAATACCTTTCTCCTCTTTCTCATTATTTTTATCTGTAATACTAGTAGGTGCAGGCACGTTTAAATCAAAAAGGCTTGGAATTTTTTGGTTCATCACATCCTGACCCTGCGATAGTGTTCTTGCTGTATTATTTATCATTAACATTGCTCCTTCTCTACTTAAACGTGGAAAATCCCCAAGAATTTCCTTTGGTGCCGTTTCTAAATGTTTTAACAATATTCCTTTTACCTAAGGGATGAAAATTTTCATTTAAAACCGTCTTTTTCCTTTAAAAGGCACAAATTCTGAAATCAGTACCTGTTCACTTAATGGTTGATGAGAAAATTTACAGTTTTCTCCTTGATTGCATTTTAGCCCAATGTGAAAAAATTTACATGGAAAGTCGTGATGCATGTACAGACATTTGTCTCTCTTTGCACAACAATCCATAAGATAAAATTTACACAATTCCATTTTTCTAGGTGGTAATGCATTGTGTGAGAAAGGGCAATCATCTCCTCTGTGACATTTTCCTTGCATATAATAAACACATATAGCATCTGGATCTTGAGTGTGATCATTATTTTGGTTTCTTCGACCATTTCTATCATTCCTCATTTGTCCTCGAGCTTTATTTTTACCACCTCTTTCGTTTTTACCACCTCGCCGACCTATTACAATAAAAATATTAATAAAACCATGCAAAACTATTCTAAATGCAAATATATATAATATTACCTCCCCCACCACCTCCTCTTGTATTCCCACGCTTATTATCATTATCCCTATGTCGATTTACATTAGGCCTGTCATCATAATCTGAATTACTATCAAAATTTTCATGATCATTAGTATGTCTTGGAGAGCTGTTTTCTTGTGCATCTTTTCTAACAGGTGAAGCACCTCTAACAAATAACATCTCATCTTCATCATCGTTAGCGTTTTCATCATCACTCACTTTTCGTCTCTGTAAAATATATATTAGAAGCATAAAGCGTTTACAATGAAAAAAAAAAAATATCTTAAAACCTTTTGATCCTTGCTACGATCTTCCTCCCTTTCATCACGGATCCTTTTTCTACTCTTATTTCTATTATTTTTACTCTTAGACTTAGAATCTTGGTTTCTAGCACCATCTTCTTCCAAAGCTGCCCTAATAGCTTTCTCAACATCTCCAGCCCAATCTTCAGTTGGACTTTTATATTTTAAAAATCTGTCGTGTTTGCTGCTTCCTTGAACATTAGATTTCTTATTTTTACTAAACTTAGAATCAAAGGTTTTATTCTTTGATGTATCTGCTTTCGACACATTTCTAATGGCATCATCATCTTTTACTGGTGGTGGTACTGGCTCATCGTCTTCATCAGATGGAATTTCTCCATCTTCCAAGTCATTATCATTATTACTACAAATACATGAAATATATGTTATACTCGATACAAATCTCAAGTTTCATATCTTAAAATGGAGATGATAGCTTTATTTTCATTTTGTGTGTAAGGTATGTTTATGTATTGTTTTATAGCTATACTTTAAAATCTCTTAGGATACAATAATTAATGCGTAACGATGACTAGATATGCTCAGTTCGAATTGAATATTTAATAATATCTGTCATTTCTGACTGATATAATTCAAATATTGTGTAAGCAGATAGAATTATTTTTAAACTTTCGCAAACATTTTAAGGATTATAATTTTGGAATTAAAAATTGCTTATAATAAAGTGTAAAATTAAAAAAAATTATTTTACAAAAATTGTCCTGAAGAGGAACTTACGTTTCAAATATACTTAAATATACTTTTGCAAACATATCAAATATACCAAATATATTTTTGTGAATGCTTTATAAGTTCTTTTTTCTAATGAGATTGCTTCAAAATATCATAGTATTAAAATGCTAGAGTAAACATATTTTCCAAATCTTTATCACCTTGTAATTATCATCATCATTATCATCATCATTTATCAACGTTTAAAAAGAAATGCAATATCATTGATAAAAGAAAAAAAAAAGTTTTCATGAAAGAATTAGTCCAGGCTTGTAATAGTTGACAAGGCCAATATCAGCGGCGGACATTAAATACATATCATAGCCTTGTATATGTTAGATAAAGGCACATCGTAAACTTTGGTCGAGCAGAGTATACTCGAAAGAAGCTTCCGCTACTAGTTGAGCTGAAAACATTAGCTTGCTTTTGGGGCACGGCTAACGGACACGTTGTAGCACAGGGCGGGTGTATCGATCGATGCAACCTAAATGCATGTATTGTAGACGTTATCATGTACTAGGAAAAAAAATCATTCCTTACTACACACCGCTTTTTTTGTAAAATACGATGCTCGCCAAGAATGCACAATAATATTCGTACGATTATATCGATCGTATAAAAGCAGGAAATTACAATAAAGAGAAGAAAAACCCATTCGAAGCATATACAACCATTTCCACGTTTTAAAATAAGTAATAATACGTAACTAGAAAAGTAATTGACAAATTACAGGTGTTAAAATAGTTGTTAAATATAGCAAAATGAAACGCGCAGGACCATGGCCGTGTAGATAAATAATAGATTGATTTACCTTACCCACGAATCACGTTCGTCATTAGCATTATCATCATGACTATCATTAATTCATCATCATCATCGATGCAATAGCATAGACATTGGATCGATATACAACATTATCACATTGTTCTGCAGCATATCTGATTGTCATCGTTACAGCATTACCAATGGTGTGTGTAATATTTAAAAAAAAAAATACGTTGACGACATCACACCGTCAGAATTTCTTCATGTGTAGACCTCATTTTGTCGCCTTTATCGCGTGCGTATATACATATGTATATGTACGAACATATGTGTATACATGTATATATAATATATACACATAGGGTATATGGATGTATACGTATGTATATATATGTATATATACATAGAGACGTATATGTATATGTTGTGTGCTCGTGATGTGTACACATATGTACTTTATGTGGGCGCCACATGTATGTTACATGTAGAAATAGAGTGTCTGTACATGAATGATATGGCTAGTATGCAAATGTGTCTTATACGAAGCAGGAAAATTGTATATAGGAATGTATATTACTCCCCGAAGATCACGTGCATGATTTCTCAACATTAAACAATCTAATAAAAACTAAAATCCATTGATGATTCTTCGACGTTAATTGCGAAAAGCAAAAGCATGGAATAAAATTAAAAATAATACAGAATTCTACATTTCATTAAAATTGCATCATTACTCCGAATTTCATCGAGATATTAATATGTCGAAATTTTGAACACTTCAGCGACACATGCGATCGTGTTTTGCAATAGTCTCATGACTCAGTGATAAAATCGATTCGTCTACTTATTGCCATTGTATGTTCTTTGTTACGAAAATTACCTTGACCTTACAAATGGTGTCAAGGTGGTTTTCTAAACGTACTAGTTGAGATCTTTAACTTTACCATGATTGACTTAATTTTCAAACGGTACGAAGAACCATAGTGGACCAGAAGAAAAAAAGAGTTACGTGTACTCCAAGAACAGTGTAGTAATGGGCTCGTTTTTCGTCGCGGTGCCAATGGTGTGTACCGAACGAAAGCGGGACCAGCACGAAACCTCCAGAGAGGGGGGTCGACGTGTGATGTGAGTAGTAGTAGTAGTAGTAGTAGTAGTAGTAGTAGTAGTAGTTGATAGTCATAGAAAAATTTCGACTATTCTTGTTGGTGAATAAAAAATGTGGAGGCAAACCTTTGGATTAGAGTCTCAGCCGCGGAAACACTCTCTAATGCCATTGTTTTGTCCCGATCGATCGTGTTTTGTACCATATGATATAGCACTGTGGCCCGACGATGATCATACGATCGATTGACGCGACCACACTCGATGGCTCTTTGTTTGCGAGATAATCGCGTGCCTGAATTCTAGCATTTGAAAATTTGGAAAAGTACCCGACCGTTTACAGGACACAAATTAGCCTACAGAATCAAATCGTTTTCGCGGTGTCTCTCCGTTTCTCTTTCTCTCTTGTCCACCGGAAGGCGAGAAGGCGCGCGTGCGCGCAACAACCGAATCCAAATTCTGTACCAATTTTTTGTAAACCTCTCTTCTACCTCTTTTTCTCAGCTTTCGGCTATGCCCCTGTCTTTTTTTCTCCCGCTTCGAATATTCTTCACGCCTATATACACAAGGACAGGCTCTGTGCCTTTTCTCTGTATCTAAATACTTTCTCTTTTGTCCGTTTATTGCACTTCTTTTCAATTCGGTGAAGTATGAGATTATTTCACTGTGTCTCTCCTCTCTTCGCTATTAAATTTCGTTAAATGTTGCAATCTTGCCATTGCAACGTCATTCTGGCTTGACGTGGCATATGGCGGCCTACTGGCGATAAGTCTGCAGGCGTATCGATTTATCTCTTACCCGTTACTGTAACTCGTGCGAAGTGCATGAAAATCGGGGCTTGAATAGGAAAATACGCGCGAATGTATGCTCTCTTTCAGTGAGTTGTAATGGCGACAATAAGCGAAAGAAAAAAAAGTGGAACAATTCCCTCCGGATATATGGTCGAAGTTTCGAAGAATAATGCGAAGCGTTAGCTTCCACTCGGACGATTCCCGTCTGTCGTAGTAATTTGATAACGGCGCTCTCTTTTTCTTTGATTTTACAATATTTTATGGGAGAAAGAGAGAGAGTGAAAGAGAGAGAGAGAGAAAGGGAACGACGAATTGATCTGGTTTCATCGTACGAAACAACTGCGAATTTACTCAGACGCGCGTCTGTTACTGATGATTGGAAATTTATCGAGAAAATGTTAAAATGTCCACGGATTTGACTCGCGGTGTCCCTCTGTCTTCCCGATGGATGACAGCGTTTACGTCTCTCTCGTGTACTTCCGCGTTCGAGAGTTATCTCAGCAAAAGAAGAACATGTGTATTATGAACGAGACTAGGCGCAGGCAGGCGAAAAGTACGATGGTCGGACAGAGCGTATTACTGTGTCAGCAGATAGTATAAAAATGTATCAGTTATGAGACGATGAGCGAAAACTTCAAAGATCAAACTAAACATGGCCACATCTGGAACTATTCTGAACGGGCAGCTGCAGGGAACCTCGGAAGAAGGGCGAGCAAACGGCAACGGGTCAGGTGGGAAAGCGATGTTCATCACTTTCCACCAATCACTGCACGCGATCAACGGTCACGTGTTACCTCCTCCATTATTTGCATTCCCCCACTCTAACTTCCTCTTGTTTCCCCACTTTTCTTCCCGTTCCTCTGTTTATGTGGAGCAAATTCCTGAAGCCTCTGTTCTCCGTTCTCCGTTGCTTTTCTACGCACAACTCGTTTGAAAGCAAGCTTCAGCTTGTAACCACGCTAGAGACTGTCCTAAAAACATTATACTCTAGAATCATTCTTTCACGACAATACCTACTTTATATCAAATGCATGTTCTTATACCTTATACAAATAAATCGGTATAAATGGCTTCACAAAAAAGATTACAATCTCCACTTTGAATAAATTTAACGAATTGATTGAAATTATTATTTGCATTAATGAAATAATTGAAGCAGTATTTATACATACAAATATATTTAATGTATACATGATTCTAAATTTCTGTGGCTAAGTAGTCATTACATATATCTCAGATCTATACAGATTTTTTGCTAATTTAACATATTTTTAGTTTACATAATACTTGCAAAGACTTATAA